CAACAGTAGGGAGGGCTGCAACAGTAGGGAGGGCTGCAACAGTAGGGAGGGCTGCAACAGTAGGGAGGGCTGCAACGGTAGGGAGGGCTCCAACGGTAGGGAGGGCTGCAACAGTAGGGAGGGCTGCAACGGTAGGGAGGGCTGCAACAGTAGGGAGGGCTGCAACGGCAGGAAGATCAGCAATAATAGGGAGGAAAAATAATACTGGGTAGAGGAGCAAGGAGCGGGAGGCTAGCAGCAACAGGCTAGCCAAACATCAGTGGAGAGAAGACAAGCGAGTAATTGACCTGGACCTGTTGATTGGCCTCTTCCGGAAATGACGCATTAAGATGCCTCCTCTTCCACCCCCCCCCCCGTCTCACACCTATTCTCTTGTGTAATTACTCCTTTCTAAATATATATTTTTGTAATTCATCTCTGTCTTTCCCATCTCCTTCTTCATCTGATCTTCGGTTCTCCAGTATTATCGGTCTTTGCCTCTTTCGTAATCCTCTTCCATTTTTTTGTTTCCGCTGTCTCTGCTTTCGTATCTTCCATCTGTTCCGTTTTTATGTGATTGGACGTGATCCTTCTCTTGTTTGGTTTCTGTCACTCCTTTCCTATCTCTATTTCTTGCCATCCATTCCTCTTTGTTTTCATTTATTTCGTTTAGTTGGTACCTCTTCTCTCCTCTCTTCTGTCCCCTCATATTTATCTTGACCACCATTTCATGTCTTTATCCCTTTTTAATTCCTTCAATATATTATTTAGTTTCTATCTCCACATGCTTATTCCCCCTCTTTCGTCTTCTCTTCTTCTTCTCCTCTTCTTCTTCTTCTCTTCTCCTCCTCTTCTTCTTCTCCTCTTCTTCTTCTTTCTCTCAGTCTTCTACCTTGCTTCCCTCTGTCTCCTCGCCTTTCATTTCCTTCTCATTTTCCTTCGCCACTACACACGCTCATTTCCGTGTCATCAGTTCCACCGTGAAGGTAACACATGCTTGAAGTGATGACTGTTATTCTAGACGGGGAAATTGCTCTCGTGCGTTTACATACACACACACACACACACACACACACACACACACACACACACACACACACACACACACACACACACACACACACACACACACACACGTTACAAACCTGTAACGATTCGAGAAAGAGACCTGGGAGTGGATGTGACGCCTAATCTAACTCCTGAGGCACATATAAATAGGATAACGACAGCAGCGTACTCTACACTGGCGAAAATTAGAACTTCATTCAGAAACCTAAATGAGGAAGCTTTTAGGGCGCTTTACACTGCCTACGTGAGACCCGTCTTAGAGTATGCCGCGCCATCATGGAGCCCCCACCTGAAGAAACACATAAAGAAACTGGAGAAGGTTCAGAGGTTTGCGACGAGGCTTGTCCCAGAGCTACGAGGGATGGGATATGAAGAGCGGCTGAAGGAACTGAACCTTACGACACTAGAGAAAAGAAGGGAGAGAGGAGATATGATAGGGACATATAAAATACTCAGGGGAATTGACAAAGTGGAAATAGATGAAATGTTTACACGTAATAATAACAGAACGAGGGGACATGGGTGGAAACTGGAAACTCAGATGAGTCACAGAGATGTTAGGAAGTTTTCTTTTAGCGTGAGAGTAGTAGAAAAATGGAATGCACTTGGGGAACAGGTTGTGGAAGCAAATACTATTCATACTTTTAAAACTAGGTATGATAGGGAAATGGGACAGGAGTCATTGCTGTAAACAACCGATAGCTAGAAAGGCGGGATCCAAGAGTCAATGCTCGATCCTGCAAGCACATATAGGTGAGTACACACTCCTTTGCTCTCTCTATTTCTTGCCAATCCTGTTGATTGACGGTTGAGAGGCGGGACCAAAGATCCAGAGCTCAAGCCCCGCAAGCACAACTAGGTGAGTACAACTAGGTAATTACACACACACACACACACACACACACACACACACACACACACACACACACACACACACACACACACACACACACACACCAGCAACGTACGAACACAAGCATCGCACCTAACCTAACCTAACCTAACCTAACATGCAAATCCATAGAAAACATGAATATTTGTGAGCCGCTACTGTTCGTCGTAATTTGTACGTTTGGGGACCATAATGGATACAATAAGTCCGTTCTGATTGAGAGGACGGGTTGTCAGTTGCTTGCCCTGGCAAAGTTGCAAACTATGGATGCAATATTCTCAGTATCTGGGGAATATATATATATATATATATATATATATATATATATATATATATATATATATATATATATATATATATATATATATATATATATGTGGGAACCGACCTGTGAGATTTATATTTATTTAATTTATATGAATTTATATTTACGTTAATTTATATACTTCGATAGCAATTTGTATAATGATAAGTGGACTGTATTTCTGCAATAATCTCATAATCTCACAAATCGATCCTCTACACATTAGGGGGGTTATTAAATTAATATATATGCAGCCAATCAAACTACAGTAACTACATACATTGAAAAGGTTCCTTATCTTATAGTACAGCAGGTTAGTCCACCAGGTATAACTAGGGTGTAGACACCAAATTATCCTCTTTGAGGTAGCTTCCATATCACCCAGTAACTGGTGCACAAATCTTGCTTCCTCGTCTTGACCTGTCAAAAGTGCGCTAGCTGTGAAGCCAGAATCTATATATGACAAGTATTTCAGAGAAAACACTATACAGTACATGGAACATTGAAGACCTGGCTTAATTACCTTTAGTTTGAGGCTTCCACGTGATCTAACCGGGTCACCCTATATCCTGACATTAATGGCCATAAATGAATGATAAACGGGTTTCGGATAGACACTTAACTTGATATGTAGACAGCGTGTTGAAAAATGGTACACCTTTGGTTTCCATAACACTACGTCCAAGTAAATTAACAGGAGCCGAATTTGCTCCCGTGTGAGCCTCTGGTCTAGTATAAAACAATGGCTGTTTAACACTCCATACTATTGACGTTACTGGCCGACATTGTCCAGAATGATAGGAGCCGAATTTGCTCCACACGTCTCGGAGGTGACACAACAATGGCTCCCTCCTTCCTCCCTCACGCCTGGCCTACTTTGTCCAGATTTCAGAAAGTGATAGAAGGGTCACATTTACTCTACTTTAATATTGATAATTAAGTTAATTTATATAAGATGTTTTTATGATGGTAAAGTCCAAAGACTAATGTATTTAAGAACAATTCCCAGCAGAATAGCTGGTGAATTATAATAGTATGTGGTGATGATATCCCGTTTTCTTTAGACGGTAATTCCACTACAAGTTACGTTTTCTATGGGTAACTTGTTTATACAATACAGCTATTATCTGTATGATTATTAAATGGTGTCGGATTTTCCGACAATATATATATATATATATATATATATATAATATATATATATATATATATATATATATATATATATATATATATATATATATATATATATATATATATATATATATATATATATATATGTATATATATATAGACTACCATCTCCGTGGGGCGAGACTGGCCTTCACTACGTTCTTTAATTTGGGGAAATCCTCGTGTTTTCTTTCTTTCCTGAAGCCCTGGACCCTGACGCTAATTACCTGACCGTAAACTTAAGCTCTTGCAGATTAATTTTTTGGAGTCCATGATTGGTGTTGGCTAATTCTCGTAGCACTGGATCTTCGTTAAATATCTTCCGCGTAGCATCGGGTCTTCGTTAAATCTTCTTCTAGTAGCACAGGTTTCTCGATAATTATCTTAATCTGTACACCAAAGTCTCGTTAATTCCCCTACAACCCCCCTTTCCCCTTCCACTTTATTCCCTCTGCACCGAATCATCTTTAATTTTCCCTCTCCTATAACATGGTTCTTTCTTCCTATATCACTGGTTTGTCACAATTCTGGTTTGTCGCAAAATCGAGGAATGTTTCTAATACTCGTAGTGATAACTGTGTCATTTGCAAAATGCCTTGTAAAGAGTGTAATCAATTCTAAATAGGTTAAACATTCAAAAGCTTGAAATTTCGAATTTCGCATAAATACTCTGGAAGAAGTGGTCAGATATCTCTCAGTCTGTTTATTTTTTTTTGTCAGAAAATTGTCTCCAAATTGATTAGAAGTCTTATTAAGAAACATTATTTAGGAAACATTATCGAATCTGCTTTAATACAAATTATAAACACATACAACGTGAATATTTGTAATTATTTGTATACTTTGGATCCATTCAAAATCGATCAATTAAAAACCCATCTTGGTAAGATGATTAATTGAGAACTATCTCTAAAGGGATATCACTTCCAGGAACTCACTTGTATTGGTCATTAGGCTCTCTCCTGTCTCCTCTTGTTTTTATGTTCATAAACCAGTATTACAAAGACATTGCTTTTTCACCTACAATACTACTTGGGCTGGACGGTAGAGCGACGGTCTCGCTTCATGCAGGTTGGCGTTCAATTCCCGACCGTCCATAAATGATTGACCACCCTTCCTTTCCCCTTCCCTTCACATGTTACCTTCCTTTTATCCTCCTGTGTATCTCCCTCCACTGAACTGAACTTCATACTTCTGAAGTTGTGTTGATTGTCACGAAAGTGCTTCTGTGATTACTTTTTAAATTTTTCCTTCGTGGTTATACAATCTCACATTATTCCTCATGTGTTAATTTGTTTATGACGTACTCTTCGAGCACCAGTACTTTTCATGAAAATTTCGTCAATGGAAGAGGTAATATTCCAAGTTTTTCAATGTGTGAAAAATCGAGAAAGCGTTTGATGTCTTGTCAGAGGTGTTGATAATGTTGCATGCAGCAGGACCGCTGCAAGCAACCATAACAGCCAAGAGGCAACTTTATTGCTGTGAATAATTTAAAAATTTCATAATTTTTTTAATGGAATTCTATCAGTAGTGAAGAGGCCATTTGTCAAAATTAATTTTTTTCCCTTTCCTCCTTGGCAGACGCTCCGACATTCCTGTCGGCCCCTCCAGACGTAGTGGACGTGGTAGTCGGAGAGTCTGAAGTGTTGAACCTGACGGCCCGGGCCAACCCGGGTCCCGTGCTGTACTCCTGGACCCGCCACGGCCTCCCTCTACCCGACCCGGTCATCGACGAGTCTTGGAGACAAACTTACGTCCTGGATCCGGTAACGGTGGGCGGGTCGTACGTCGCGGCGGACGGGCCACTCCTCTACATCAGGGGTGTGACTGTGGACGACGCAGGCGACTACGAACTGGAAGCCACGAACGAAGAGGGCGCCACCGTCGCTAAGATCTACCTCAATGTCCAATGTGAGTGGTGCAATTATATATACCATACAGAAAGGACAAGCAAGTGACTTTTCTATACAAATCAAACAAATATATATATATATATATATATATATATATATATATATATATATATATATAAATATATATATAAATAATATATATATATATATATATATATATATATATATATATATATATATATATATATATATATATATATATATATATGTATAACTGAAAACTCACACCCCAGAAGTGACTCGAACCCATACTGCCAGTATATATATAGTCCTGGGGACCATTCAGGCTTATATAACTTCATATATAAGAATGAACTCTGTAGTAAAATACTTAAGAAATATTTCCCGTCTTAATATCATCGTCAACCACTTGGGATTAACACAAGAGAATACTAGAGAGAAAATTTGAATTCATCCTCTTACCCGAGGCTCCTTAAGTCAACTTCCTTCCCCCTTAAATCAACTTTCTTCCCCCTTAAATAAACGTTCTTTCCCTGGTTTGCGTTCATTGGTATTTGTTTGACTGTTGTTTACTTTAAGGACATGCTTGTGTCTTTTGGAATTCCTTTAAACTTAACAAGTTGATTTCTTAATATAACAAGAGATGCATTTCTATCTCTTTTTATATTGATTCGTCTTTATGTTTTTTCTTGGCCCTCTTGATTTTCGTCCCTACCCTCTTCCTCACCATCTCTCCTTTCAATTTTATCCCTCTCTCTCTCTCTCTCTCTCTCTCTCTCTCTCTCTCTCTCTCTCTCTCTCTCTCTCTCTCTCTCTCTCTCTCTCTCTCTCTCTCTCTCTCTCTCTCTCTCTCTCTCTCTCTCTCTATTAACCCAGGTCCTCCTCTCCCTCCTGGGTTGTACCCTGGTGGGGTTCTGGGAGTTCTACTCCACAAGCCCGACCCGGGGGCCAGGCTTGACTTGTGAGATCTTGGGTTCACCCCTATTCCTCTTGGTCCACCCACTCACCCCTATTCCTTCCCTCTCGGTTTTCTTCTTATTCCTCTTTGTCATCTGTGCATCTCTCTCTCTCTCTCTCTCTCTCTGTTCCGTTGGTTTCCTAGTCATATCTGTCTCGTGTTGTTGTGGTCCTTTAATCCGCTCAAATACGCCATTTTTCCTTTCCCATTTTCTTATTTTCTTTGAGCTCAACAGCAGGCAAATGATTTATTTTGGCCGGACGAAAACAAAAGACAACACCTGCTTTTGTTTCTCTCAGATTCACGTCTCTTTCAGGTCTTTCGTTACTTTGATTCTCCGTATTAGACCCTTAACTTTTGTGAGTGTGTGTGCGTGTGTGTGTATGTGTGTGTGTGTGTGTGTGTGTGTGTGTACTCACCTATTTGTACTCACCTATTTGTGCTTGCAAGATCGAGCATTGACTCTTGGATCCCGCCTTTCCAGCTATCGGTTGTTTACAGCAATGACTCCTGTCCCATTTCCCTATCATACCTAGTTTTAAAAGTATGAATAGTATTTGCTTCCACAACCTGTTTCCCAAGTGCATTCCATTTTTCCACTACTCTCACGCTAAAAGAAAACTTGCTAACATCTCTGTGACTCATCTGAGTTTCCAGTTTCCACCCATGTCCCCTCGTTCTGTTATTATTACGTGTGAACATTTCATCTATTTCCACTTTGTCAATTCCCCTGAGTATTTTATATGTCCCTATCATATCTCCTCTCTCCCTTCTTTTCTCTAGTGTTGTAAGGTTCAGTTCCTTCAGCCGCTCTTCATATCCCATTCCTCGTAACTCTGGGACAAGCCTCGTCGCAAACCTCTGAACCTTCTCCAGTTTCTTTATGTGTTTCTTCAGGTGGGGGCTCCATGATGGCGCGGCATACTCTAAGACGGGTCTCACGTAGGCAGTGTAAAGTGCCCTAAAAGCCTCCTCATTTAGGTTTCTGAATGAAGTTCTAATTTTCGCCAGTGTAGAGTACGCTGCTGTCGTTATCCTATATATATGTGCCTCAGGAGTTAGATTAGGTGTCACATCCACTCCCAGGTCTCTTTCTCGAATCGTTACAGGTAGGCTGTTCCCCTTCATTGTGTACTGTCCCTTTGGTCTCCTGTCACCTGATCCCATTTCCATAACTTTACATTTACTGGTATTAAACTCCAGTAGCCATTTCCCTGACCATCTCTGCAGCCTGTTTAAGTCCTCTTGGAGGATCCTACAATCCTCGTCCGTCACAACTCTTCTCATTAATTTTGCGTCATCCGCAAACATTGACATGTATGATTCCACTCCTGTAAACATATCATTTACGTAAATTAGAAAGAGAATTGGTCCCAGCACCGATCCTTGAGGTACTCCACTCGTTACTGTTCGCCAGTCCGACTTCTCGCCCCTTACCATTACCCTCTGGCTCCTTCCTGTTAGGTAGTTCTTCACCCATACTAGGGCCTTTCCGCTTACTCCTGCCTGCCTCTCAAGTTTGTATAGCAGTCTCATGTGCGGTACTGTATCAAAGGCCTTTAGGCAGTCAAGAAATATGCAGTCTGCCCAGCCTTCTCTGTCCTGCCTTATCCTTGTTACTTTATCATAGAATTCTAAAAGGTTTGTTAGGCATGATTTCCCTGTCCAGAACCCATGTTGGTGCTTGTTTACAAACCCAATGCTCTCGAGGTGCTCAACAAGTCTTAGCCTAATTATTCTTTCAAGTATTTTGCAGGGGATGCTTGTCAGTGATACGGGTCTGTAGTTAAGTGCCTCCTCCCTATCACCTTTTTTGAAAATCGGTACGACATTTGCCTCCTTCCAGCAACTGGGCAATTCTCCCGACATAAGTGACTCATTAAAGATCATTGCCAGAGGCACGCTGAGAGCCTGCGCTGCCTCTTTAAGTATCCACGGTGATACTTTGTCTGGTCTAACAGCTTTATTTGCATCCAGAGTTGTCAACTGTTTCATTACATCCTCTGCTGTCACCTCTATATCTGATAGTCTTTCATCTTGGGTAATCTCTTCTAACAATGGGAGCTGCTCAGGCTCGGTTGTGAACACTCCATGGAATTTTGCATTCAGTACCTCGCAGATTTCCTTGTCGCTTTCTGTATATGCCCCTTCTGTTTTCCTCAGTCTTGTCACTTGGTCATTTACCGACATCTTCCTGTGTGTGTGTGTGTGTGTGTGTGTGTGTGTGTGTGTGTGTGTACTCACCTAGTTGTACTCACCTAGTTGTGTTTGCGGGGGTTGAGCTCTGGCTCTTTGGTCCCGCCTCTCAACCGTCAATCAACAGGTGTACAGATTCCTGAGCCTATCGGACTCTGTCATATCTACACTTGAAACTGTGTATGGAGTCAGCCTCCACCACATCACCCCCTAATGCATTCCATTTGTCAACCACTCTGACACTAAAAAAGTTCTTTCTAATATCTCTGTGGCTCATTTGGGCACTCAGTTTCCACCTGTGTCCCCTTGTGCGTGTTCCCCTTGTGTTAAATAGACTGTCTTTATCTACCCTATCAATCCCCTTCAGAATCTTGAATGTGGTGATCATGTCCCCCCTAACTCTTCTGTCTTCCAGCGAAGTGAGGTTTAATTCCCGTAGTCTCTCCTCGTAGCTCATACCTCTCAGCTCGGGTACTAGTCTGGTGGCAAACCTTTGAACCTTTTCCAGTTTAGTCTTATCCTTGACTAGATATGGACTCCATGCTGGGGCTGCATACTCCAGGATTGGCCTGACATATGTGGTATACAAAGTTCTGAATGATTCTTTACACAAGTTTCTGAATGTGTGTGTGTGTGTGTGTGTGTGTGTGTGTGTGTGTGTGTGTGTGTGTGTGTGTGTGTGTGTGTGTGTGTGTGTGTGTGTGCGCGTGCGTGCGTGCGTGTGTATGTGCGCACATACTTTTGAGAGAGACAGAGGCCAGCCAGGCAGCGGGTAGACATCGTAAGTGACCTCTCATCTTCCACGCCCTTCCAGACCCGCCCGCCATCAAATACACATCGGAGGTGGTGACGGTGTCGGAGGGGCAGGACGCGCGTTTGGAGTGTGCTGCCGACGGGAACCCCCTGGCCGAGGACATGATGCAGTGGTCCAGACAAGATTACAGCTTCTCCCGCACCGAGCAGACCTTCGGGTGAGTGGGACTAGGAGAAGAAAGGAACTAGGCGGAGTTGTTGTGGCATGGGAGAGAGGTGGATAAAGATGGGAAGGAAGGAGAGGGGTAGCAGTTAGGTGGCGTTGATGAGCTCCTGGAAATGGGAAATGGGAAAGAACTAGGAATGATAGGATGACGGATCAGGGATGGAAATGAAACACGAATCACCGTTGTAATGGGGAGGAAGGAATAGATAAATGCGGTAAAACCAATGGATTGGGAAGGATTCTATTCCTGCTGGGGGTAGGGAATAGCCTCTTCTATTGCCGCTGGAATGGGGGGGACTACCGCAGCTCAAGGGGGGGGGGGGGGGGGAAGCCGCCTGCGGCCACTGCCGCGGCGAAAAGGTCAAAGGGTTCTGCTGCATGTGGAATTTTTGAGCAGTTTGCGGCCTCCGGAACTTTTAGTTTTCAGGTCAGTTGTTGACCTTTTATGCGAGTTTGCGTGCACTGTGCTGGGGCTTTCTGTCTACCAGTTTGGACTTTCCCGGGGGGCGGAGTGATACCTGGTTGATACCTGGTTGATGGGATTCTGGGAGTTCTTCTACTCTCCCAAGCCGTTGATACCTGGTTGATGGGATTCTGGGAGTTCTTCTACTCTCCCAAGCCCGGCCCGAGGCCAGGCTTGACTTGTGAGAGTTTGGTCCACTAGGCTGTGGAATGTAAAGCCTACATTGTCAATGTCTAAAGCTTTAATGTGGTTATGATGCATTTAGAGCCTACATTTTGAATAAATTTTTTTAGAAATACAGTAAAAATGATTCAAATAATAACAATAATGAAACTTAAAATGATAAATCGGTGACTTTATTATTTAATCAGGTATTCACGGGAAAGTCCAATGGGGAGGGGTATTTATTTTTGGTATGTAAATTGGTACATACACGCTCAAAGCCACTTACATATTTCAGAAATAGTAACCTTGGAATGGTAGCCCCTGCAACGGTAGCCTAGCAATGGTAGCCCTGCAACGGTAGATTAGTAATAGTAGTTCTACAACGGTAGCCTAGCAATAGTAGTTCTACAACGGTAGCTAGTAATAGTAGTCCTGTAACGGTAGCCTACCAATGGTAGTTCTACAACGGTAGCCTAGCAATAGTAGTTCTTCAACGGTAGCTAGCAATAGTAGTCCTGTAACGGTAGCCTAGCAATGGTAGCCCAGTACTAGTAGCCTACCAATGGTACCCTAGCAATGACAGGCAAGTAATTGTAGCATTAGTAGTAATAACAATAGTTACACAAAAAAAGAGCTACCAGCAGTAGGAGTGAAAAAGACTATTGTGTTATGTAGAATGACCTCAACCCCGCCCCACTGACCATGTCGTCCCGTCCTACAGAGGCAAGAAGGCGTCGCTGAAGGTGCTGCGAGCGAACAGGAACGACACAGGAGTGTATTCGTGCGTTGTCAACAACGGCATTGGCAAGGTGGCAACGGCCAATGTTACCCTTGTGGTCAAGACCCGCCCGCAGGTGGCACACTCGCAGGTGAGTTGACGGCAAGTGCTGGGGCCAGCTGGCTATACGAAGTGCTGGAGCTAGAAAGTACTTACACAAGGACAGTAGCTGGCTATTTTTGTTTTCGTAAACTCAACAAATACATTCACTTAAACACCAGTTAGTTTCTTAAGCTTTGATGTGTTTGTGTTTGTAAGACAAGGTCACCAATTACACTGAACACATCAGTAAGATGTAACGCATCAGTCAGGGCTCTGAATATAAGGTTATTCAGTTTACTAGAGCAGATGAGTTGATGTCAGTCCAACAGAAGTCATTAGAAGGGAGGGAGTCACATCAACTAACAAGACACACTCAACGGAGACTTATTCAGAGTGTAGAATTGATGGTGAAATGTTACTTGATCTGTGAGGCAAGGCAGTGAGTTCCTACTCTAGATATGATCCATCTGAGGGATTAGGCTTGGTACATTGCCTCGTCTTAATCGCATCATTAAAGCTGACCTACAGTCATGTAGTGTGTTTTTGGGCATTGTCATAAATAGGGAATTATTTAGTGTACCTAATTACAGTGTTAGATAATTATTTCGTGAGTTACAAAATGTGTTTATAATGCTTATCTTTCCCTTTCTACCTTAGCATTTTTGGTATTCATTGTTCTAATAACCTGTCTCTGGGTGAAGAACATTTTTTCACCTTTGTTACATCCTAGTTCTTTGCAATAATCTTTGTGTATTTACGTTTGTGAAGCGAAAGGTTACCCCCACTCACCTTTCCACCCCCACCTTAATTGTATTTAACTTCTCCCGTGGTTTGCAGCTGTTGAATCGAGCCGCGGCAGAAAAGGGAAGAATGGGTCGCTTGCAATGTCAAGCAGAGGGCGCCCCTGAGGTAAGCTTCTCCTGGAAGAGAGACGGACATCTTCTCTCCAACGGCATGAACCCCGACAAATACGACAATGAAACTACCAAGGTGAGCCAAGAGCTGGTTATGTTTACCCTCTTCTTCATTCCCTTCTTAAAGTCATTGATGATAAGTTGGCTCGTCACACCCTTCCCCATCTCCCATAATCCGGGGATTAAGGAGGGGACACACCAGGAGTCAAATTTCCGACAATTCAGATATTTTGAAAACTGCAGGCGGGTTTGGGCACAATATGACCCATCACCGTTTTCAGTAATTGTCATATTTTTGTTATAAAAAGTCGTAATTTGAAAATGAAAATAGGTGCAGAGAGTCAGAATTCGGCTCAAAAATTCCGCTCAGGAGTCGAATTTCTGACATTTCAGATATTTTGAAAACTGCAGGGGGATTTGGGCACAATATGACCTATCGCCGTATTCAGTAATCAGCATATTTTCGGTATAAAAAGACGTAATATGAAAATGAAAATAGGTGCAGAGAGTCAGAATTCGGCTCAAAAGTCACGCTCAAGAGTCAAATTTCCGACATTTCAGATATTTTGAAAACTGCAGGGGGGTTTGGGCAAAATATGACCCATCTCCGTTTTCAGTAATTGGCATATTTTAGGTATAAAAAGTAGTAATTTGAAAATGAAAATAGGTGCAGAGAGTCAAAATTCGGCTCAAAAATCACGCTCAGGAGACAAATTTTCGACATTTCAGATGTTTTGAAAACTGCAGGGGGGTTTGGGCAAAATATGACCTATTGCCGTTTTCAGTAATTGGCATATTTTCGGTTAAAAAAGTCGTAATTTGAAAATGAAAATAGGTGCAGAGAGTCAGTATTTGCCTAAAAAATCAGGCTCAGGAGTCAAATTTCCGATATTTCACATATTTTGAAACCTAAAGGGGGGTTTGGGCAAAATATGACCCATCGCTGTTTTCAGTAATTGGCATATTTTCGGTATAAAAAGTCTAAATTTGAAAATGAAAATAGGTGCAAAGAGTCAGAATTCGGCTAAGAAATCACCCTCAGGAGTCAAATTTCCGGCAGTTCAGATGTTTTGAAAACCGCAGGGGGGGTTTTCTGCAAAATATGACCCATTGCTGTTTTCAGTAATTGGCATTTTTTCGGTATAAAAATTTGTAATTTGAAAATGAAAATAGGTGCAGAGAGTCAGAATTCGGCTTAAAAGTCCATTTCTGAATTCAAATTTCCGACATATCACATATTTTGAAAAGTGCAAGGGGGTTTGGGCAAATTATGACCCATCGCCGTTTTCAGTAAATGTCATATTTTCGGTATAAAAAGTCGTATTTTGAAAATGAAAATAGGTGCAGAGAGTCAGAATTTGGCTCAAAAATCACGCTCAGGAGTCAAATTTCCGACATATCAGATATTTTGAAAACTGCAGGGGTGTTTGGGCAAAATATGACCCATCGCTGTTTTCAGTAATTGGCATATTTTCGGTATAAAAAATCGTAATTTGAAAATGAAAATAGGTGCAAAGAGTCAAAATTCGTCTAAAAAATCACGCTCAGGAGACAAATTTTCGATATTTCAGATGTTTTGAAAACTGCAGAGGGGTTTGGGCAAAATATGACTTAATGCCGTTTTCAGTAATTGGCTTATTTTCGGTTAAAAACGTCGTAATTTGAAAATTAAAATAGGTGCAGAGAGTCAGAATTTGGCTAAAAAATCTGGCTCAGGATTCAAATTTCCGACATTTCACATATTTTGAAAACTAGAGGGGGATTTGGGCAAAATATGACCCATTGCTGTTTTCAGTAATTGGCATATTTTCGGTATAAAAATTCGAAATTTGAAAATGAAAATAGGTGCAGAGAGTCAGAATTCGACTAAAAAATCCATTTCTGAATTCAAATTTCCGACATTTCAGATATTTTGAAAACTACAGGGGGGTTTGGGCAAAATATGACCCATCGCCGTTTTCAGTAATTGGCATACTTTCGGTATAAAAAGTCTTAATTTGAAAATTAAAATAAGTGCAGAGAGTCAGAATCCGGCTCAAAAATCAAGCTCAGGATTTAAATTTCCGACATTTCAGATGTTTTGAAAACTGCAGGGGGGCAAAATATGACGCATTGCTGTTTTCACTAATTGGCATATTTTCAGTATAAAAAGTCGTAATTTGAAAATGAAAATAGGTGCAGAGAGTCAAAATTCGGCTCAAGAATCAGACTCAGGAGTCAAATTTCCGACATTTCAGATATTTTGAAAACTCCTGGGGGGTTTGGGCAAAATATGACTCATCGCAATTTTCAGTAATTGGCATATTTTCGGTATAAAAAGTCGTAATTTGAAAATGAAATTAGGTGCAGAGAGTCAGAATTCGGCTCAAAAATCATGCTCAGGGGTCAAATTTCCGACAATTCAGATATTTTGAAAACTGCAGGGAGCTTGGGCAAAATATGACCAATAGATGTTTTCAGTAATTGGCATATTTTCGGTATAAAAAGTCGTAATTTGAAAATGAAAAAAGGTGCAGAGTCAGGATTCGGCTCAAAAATCACGCTCAGGAATAAAATTTTCGACATTTCAGATATTTCAAAAACTGCAGGACAAAATTGGGGGTTTGGACAAAATATGACCCATCGCCATTTTCAGTAATTGTTATATTTTTGGTATAAAGTGTAGTAATTTGGAAATGAAAATAGGTGCAGAGAGTCAGAATTCGGCTCAAAAATTACGCTCAGGAGTCAAATTTCTGACATTTTATATATTTTGAAAACAGGGGGGGGGGGGGTTAGGCAAAATATGACCCATCGCCGTTTTCAGTAATTAGCATATTTTCGGTATAAAAATTCGTAATTTGAAAATGAAAATAGGTGCAGAGAGTCAGAATTCGCCTCAAAAATCACCCTCAGGTGTCAAATTTCCGACATTTCACATATTTTGAAAACTGCAGGGGGGTTTGGGCATAATATGACCCATCGCAGTTTTCAGTAATTGGCATTTCACTATTATTTAAATCAGTGCTAATGTCTATGGATTCAAGGCTGAACATTTCACATCCACAAACTTTGTGAAAGAGGGGCTTTGGGTCCTTGCTCCCTCTTCAGGAGGTCACTGGGCCAATCCTAATCTCCCTTTTGCGTTCCCGATAAAAATCACCAATAATCCTGTGATGTCTAATGACGCTAACCCCAAGCATTTGACCTTCAACTTTGAGCAGACATTCTAATATATTATATATATATATATATATATATATATATATATATATATATATATATATATATATATATATATATATATATATATATATATATATATATATATATATATATATATATATATATATATATATATATATATATATATTAGGGTACCACCTTTGGTGTAATTGTAAGGACCCACAGCCTCGGAGAAGAAAATAAAGAGTAATCAGAGAAGACCTTGTGGATTCTCATTGAACACGTTAATATTTTCTTCTCCTACCACCCCCAATTTATATATATATTTTTGTTCACATATATTTGTTTTTTCCTCACACTCCGCTTCTCCCCCATCCATGTCTTTTCCTTCCCGCTGTTTCTCAAACACCCTTTTATCATTACATATCTCATATCACATACATTCCAGTATGAAATATCTAAATCAGTTCAGTGTAGATATTTTGAGGATTTTTCAGATACACTTGAATGGGTTCCATGAGTCCATGTCATGAACAAATAGAATGCAATGAAATGCTTTTGGTCGAATTGTAATTTCAATATCGCCGCGGTAATATCCCAAATTAATAAAAAAATCAGATGATTTATTTCTTACATCTGTTATTAAAACTGTTTTACACTAAGTAATTATTTTTTATGAAAATTGACTTTCTCTCTGTTCAATTGCTAGAGAAAAAGGTAATTTAATTTTGTTTTCATTTTTTATTTATTGCATTTGTTGCTGGTATTGCAGTCGTGGCTGCAATGCTACTTTTCATTAATTCCAGGATGTTGCAACCAACTCTCACATTCATGAACATATTAACACATGAATATATTAAACCGCGATGAATAATAATTTCGCACCTTATTCTTTTGCACTTAGAGTTCGCGTACTTTGCTCATCACCAATCCGTTCTCACGATTTGCCACTCCGTTAAAAATGCAACTGTTTTATCTAACCAGAAATATACGAACACAAGCAACCTACCCAACCTTTCAAAGTTTATTCATAGAAAACTTTCTAAATCACCATTTACCTTTCCCCACGAGCTTTGCTAACTTTCTAAATCATGATTTATCCCTTCAAAGGCCATCTATTTGTAAACCGGTTTACCTAGCGCTCAGGGAAGATTGATTTTCCCCATTTTTGATCTTCCTACATGTAAGATTGCCTTTTATATATGATGACTTTCTCGTCTCATAAGAAGTCACCTATCCAGAGGGACGACTTAATCATGGCCTTTTAGTAAGATTAAAGGCCATCCATGACACTGGATGGCCCTTTAGTAAAGCCATCTTACAGAAAACTTCTCCACAACAAATTGTATCCCAGAAGCATTGAAGGAATCCCGACATATTTCCCTATTAACATGAAACTGAATGGCTGCCCTCCGCTCCCTGCATTTCTCCTTGCTTTCTACTTCCGCTGCCTTCCAGCCTGCCTGTCTGCCATCATCCCTGCCTTTTCCTCTTTATCCACGTATATTAATCTATATGTTTCACCACTCGCCAACAGACTGGACTCGTCTCCTGGGCTTCCACCTTCTACATCAAGCACGTCAACGACCCGGACTACGGCAATTACGAGTGTGTGGCCGAGAACGAGCTTGGAGCCTCGACCGTCACTGTGCATTTTATGCCGCCTACTCGGCCGGATCCTCCGCTAGCTCTCAAGGTATGTCAGTAGCTTCGCTTTCTATTGTATGTGTTGGAGGTATTGTGTACCTCCAACAAGCACAGTACCTTGTTGGAGGTACTGTGCTCTCTCGTGTGTGTGTTTTTATACATGTCTGTGCACGTGCATGCTTGCAGGCAGGTATATATACACACACACATGAGTGAAAGGGAAATTATCACCGGGAAAGCGCCAAGCCATTACGACTATATAGCACTTGGAAGGTCAGAATAAGGATTTGGGATGGGGACAGGAGGAAGGAATGGTGCCCAATCTCTTGGACTGTCGGGGATGGAACGCCGACCTGCTTGAAGCGAGACCGTCGCTCTACCGTCCACCCCAAGGGGTTGGGCACTCATGAGTTGACACATGAGTCAACTTATAATTCTTTACCCTCGGGTATAATCATATAAACCTCAAAGATTATATATATACAGTATCATTAATGTACATCCTCTTTATCGACATGAATACGTATATACCGTCAATATACATATTCCCTATGTATGAAAGGCTGACCGGAGCAGGATGTGTTGTATTTTTTTTCCTTTTGTTGTGCTGGGTAAACATTTCTTATTTATTCTAACCTCTGCGCAAAAGAATCTGTTGTGTGCAGTTTTGCGCAGATTCAGGTTTAATATGAAAATCTGCATCTTCTATATTTACCTCAGTCGAGTGGCATTATGTTTGGTAAATACAGTACCAACTATTCCCGACTAGGTATTTTCCTGAATACTTCCATATTTTCCCAAAGGTTTCAAAGTTGTCACAATTGATTCCGCGTTCACGAAAGGGTTTCCACGGCTGGTTTCTCTGAAACCTTCAGGAGCTGAAGGTTTCAAGAGTTCTCCCAAAGGCTTCTTGGTGGGTTTCAGAAAGGCTTCGAAGCTTTCCCAAACGTTTCAAAAATCTTCCAAAACACCTCTTGAGAGGTTTCCTTAGAAGCCTTTTCTCAAGGGTTTCAAAGTTATCCCGAAGGCTTCCAGATTTGTCTCAAAGGCTTTCAAGTTGTCCCAAATGTTCTGTCAGACTCCAATGGAATACCTAGACTGTGCTCTTGATTCAAAATGCAACCAAAATGCATTACAGTATAGATGTATGGATGTCTGAGTGACGCAACACTGCGTACTGATTGGTTCAGCACGGTTATACACACACACACACACACACACACACACACACACACACACACACACACACACACACACACACACACACACACACACACACACACACACACACATATATATATATATATATATATATATATATATATATATATATATATATATATATATATATATATATATATATATATATATATATATATGTACATTTAAGATGTTTCTAAGGTCTTTTTTCCTGAAGGTTGTGGCCAAGATGGTGAAAGGGGGGAATAACGAAATGGCGTTGTGACACTCACTCACAACCCACCTATACGAGGTAGGTTGGTTGTGAGTAGGTGGGCGGTGACGGGGGGGAAGTGGGGGGATGGGGTTGTGGCACTATGGCGTTGTGAGTGGGCAGCGTGAGTGAACATACACCTTTAATTATCCTGGACACTCCATTTGTTAACGTTCTCTTGCCTCATTTACTCCCTTCTCCCTTTATTTGCACTTTCTCTCTCTCTCCCTGCCTGTCTCTCTCTCTCTCTCTCTCTCTCTCTCTCTCTCTCTCTCTCTCTCTCTCTCTCTCTCTCTCTCTCTCTCTCTCTCTCTCTCTCTCTCTCCTCTTCTCTTCCTCCTTCCTCGTCTTTTTTCTTCTCACACCTCCTTATTCACCGTTCTCCTTCTCATCATTTTATCATTTTTTTGGTTTAATTATTTTGCATTCTCCAAAAACGTTTTTTTTAATTCATTCTTGTATTCAAAATTATTAATTTATTTCTTTTATTTTTAATTCTTTGCGGTTTTATATTCGTTTTCTTTGTCGTCATATTTTGTTTTCCATTACTTTCTTTTTCTCATGTTTTTGGTACAGGAAGAAGAGGTCAACCATTGATATATGCAAAAACATCTTGTTTGCCTTGATTCTCACTCTCGCTTGTCTTAATAATGCGCGGTTTTGAGCATTATCCTACACCGTGCTGCCCTCTCTAAAGGCATCCCTTCCTCACGCTGCCCACCCTCCAGGCATCCCTTCCTCACGCTGCCCTTCTCCAGGCATCCCTTCCTCACGCTGCCCTTCTCCAGGCATCCCTTCCTCACGCTGCCCTCCCTCCGGGCATCCCTTCCTTACGCTGCCCTCCTCCAGGCATCCCTTCTTCACGCTGCCCTTCTCCAGGCATCCCTTCCTCACGCTGCCCTTCTCCAGGCATCCCTTCCTCACGCTGCCCTCCGCCAGGCATCCCTTCCTCACGCTGCCCTTCTCTAGGAATCCCTTCCTCACGATGCCCTTCCTCACGCTGCCCTTCTCCAGGAATCCCTTCCTCACGCTGCCCTTCCCCAGGCATCCCTTCTTCACGCTGCCCTCCTCCAGGCATCCCTTCCTCACGCTGCCCTTCTCTAGGAATCCCTTCCTCACGATGCCCTTCCTCACGCTGCCCTTCTCCAGGAATCCCTTCCTCACGCTGCCCTTCCCCAGGCATCCCATCTTCACGCTGCCCTCCTCCAGGCATCCCTTCCTCACGCTGCCCTTCTCCAGGCATCCCTTCCTCACGCTGCCCTTCTCTAGGAATCCCTTCCTCACGATGCCCTTCCTCACGCTGCTCTCCGCCAGGCATCCCTTCCTCACGCTGCCCTTCTCCAGGCATCCCTTCCGCACGCTGCCCTTCTCCAGGCATCCCTTCCTCACGCTGCCCTTCTCCAGGCATCCCTTCCGCACGCTGCCCTCCTCCAGGCATCCCTTCCTCACGCTGCCCTTCCTCACGCTGCCCACCCTCCAGGCACCAACACTGAGAGTACATCTCGTCAATCAACGGCCCCCTAGTGGCATGTCCAGCTCTCCCTTCAACAGCTGGCCGTAAATACAGATCCATTAGCTTTCCTCTGACTCTGCCCCACGCCCATCGCCCTCAAATAGGCGAACTACTTTCCATTAAAACCCTCTCTGGTCTGCCTCCGAGCCTCTCTTCTGTATCAACAAGTCATCAGATGAGTGTTCCCCGAATGCCGCCAACGACTGCTCATCTGCTGCGGTTTTCCCCTTCATCTGAGGGCTCACAGATGTGCTGAGGGCCCCTCTGGAGCGTGTTTCTCTCTGAGTGATCCCCTTTCTGTGTTTGTTTCCTTGTGAGTGGTTCCTGTGGGCGTCTGTACCGTGGTCTATGTATTGCGGGTCTTTCGTCTAGGCAGCATTTTTTCTCTCAGTGGCCCGGGGCTCGGATTCTGTAAGCTTTAACGCATCCACTGATGAAACCTTTACATCTTTTGATTCGATTATGGCGGATTTGTTTCAATTTTAAGGGGTTAGGAGCTCCGAAACACTACGAGGTTTTTCAGACAATAATAACCTTGAATTATGAAGATTCGAAGCACATAAACGGCTTGATAAATGTCAACAAAGCTGCTGATTCTTGTCCTGCTTGTATCATTGAAGTAAAAAATGCACAAACACACACACACACACAAATATATATATATTGTGACGGTAACGCGTTGGTGTTCGGCTGTTTAAGGCTAGGGGTATGGCCTCGTCACATAGTTATAAAAAAAAATAGAAAAACTGGAACTTCGTCTGTGGTAAGGTAAGGAGAAGACACACAAAACACAAGTAAAACTTTAACAATGAAATTTTAATTACGTTAAATAAATCAAAACATGAAAATATGGACAAACAAATATGTATAATAAAATCAATGAATCAAAATAATAAGAATACTTAAATGACACAATGAAAGTTACGTTAAGGCAAAATAATAAGAAGTGCAACACAAAAGTTAAGTGGGAGGTGCTGGAATATTGGCTTAAAGCCACCACCTCTCTCAGTACACTCTAGAGTCTAGCTGGGAGGTGTGCTGGCTACGAAAGCACGGAACATTCTGAAGACTGATGTTGGGGCGACCCCAGACATCGGGTAGTATTGGGGGGCGAGTGCAGGTGCAGCCAGACCGGCGACCAATCAGCGGAGTCGTAGCGATCAACGGGTAGTTTGGTGGTTGGAGTTCGAACAGGTGGCTGGTTGCATACGTTTCTGCTCACCCTGGCAAGCCTTGCTGGTGTTTGTTGTCGTTGTTGGACATTTCTTCCATAGTCTTTTATATAGTTGTGAAGACGTAATTTTGGAGGGAAGAGCAGGCTCAATCTCTTGAAGGAGATTATCGTCACAACTCTCCCCCGAAGCCTGCGGTTCTGGAAGAAGTACGTCGTTATGTGGTGGAGTAATGGATGGAGTTGCTTCTACTTCATAAACTCTGGAGAGGGTATGGGCTAAGATGTTGTCAGACTCTTGGTATAGTGTGTCTCCAGGTTGAATTTCTGCAGTTAGCAAGCCCATAGTAGAAGACGTTGAGATGAGAAGTGGGCGTGCTGCAGGAGGTGTAGGGTGGTGTGGTCCGTATTGATGGTGGACCGAGCACGTTTCAGGTGTGGAGTGAAGTGCTGAAGCTTCAGGATGAGGAAGAGTAGCTCCTTGCCAATTGTTCCGTAGATCCTTGTAGCAGTAGTCGCTGACAAGTGTATTCTTCTCGCCTCGTTGCTGCATCACGACACCACCCACGTCGGTACCATTGGCGTCGACATGGAGGATGAAGGGCTTATCTGACGAGGTGAGAGTGGAATTAGAAGAGGGCATAGGAGCACGAGTATTATCCTGAAAGCATTTGGGAAGATCATTAAGGATTTTGGAATTAGAAGGCGCCGACTCCTTGTCAGTGCTTTCGGGAGAAGAAGCCGGGATGGTCTCACTGTGGATGTAGGGTTCTGTGAATGTGGAATAATTAGTCAAGACAGTGGGAGGAGTACCATTATATTGCTTCAGGAGGTTGACGTGGCACAGCTGGGTCTTCCGCCGCCTATCTGGAGTCTCTATGACGTATGCGTTGTTGTTTCTGCACTCTTTGA